AACCGTAGCCTCCGGTACGCATCAATGATCAAGGCCCACACGGCTGATTTAGGCAACTTCCGTCTCTTTCCTACATATATACAACGTGTGATGCTGTACCATTCTACAGGAGTCTCCGCTCCTCAACGATTCAATTCGGTCGAAGTAACCACAGACAGGAGTCGGTGGGTCGAATGGAAATAAATCTGACCGCATACTCTCGAGTCAGTGGACAGAATCATGAATGTCGGGTCAGTAATTTATGTTTAAAACATCGTTTCTCTATGATCATAATGTCAATACTAAGATGTTTTGTGAAGCGTGTCATTGCGTGATCATATAATCTCTCTATGGGATGATGTTATCAAATATTCATATGTATCCTATTTGTAAAATTTAACATCACTAACAAAATATTGGACTAAAGACTAAAAGAAAACCAGGATGCGTATTATTTAAATTATCTGCATTTCATTATGAAATTTAGAGAAATAAAAATATGTAGTGTTTACTCTAATTGTCTATCATTAGTAATTTAGCACACTGACTTACTTTCCAGTGGTTGAGGATACGACCCCGGCAAAGTACAAACATATTGTTTACTTTTAGATGTTTTCTTAGTACATTATTTGTTAATTTATGAAAATAAATATTTAAGTACGGTTGTCCGCTGTTTTGTATCAGGAAGTAACAGTAAATGCTCTATATTGTTTGGATCTATAGATTCTAATTTTTCAGACTCAGTAATTTATTATTGAATTATCAACATAGACATGAAAAATATACTCAATAATACCACAAGGATTAAAACATTAACTTGACAAATTCTGTTTAAACCAACTTCCTAATTCTAACATTAATTGTTTGTGCTTTATCACTATGGCAATCTTAGCGTTTATCCAGGGAGTGGATCGCAATACTAATCCCGGATCAAGGGCGCAGGTGGTGCCGGCCCGGACCGATCATTTCACTTGGTACTTTATAGGACGGATTGTCTCAGGACGAATGTGGTTTCGGGTACGCAGAAGGGTTGATAGCCTTGGACTAAACTTTATTGCATGCCATCAGGAATAGTAGGATATTTGGACCCAATAAATTGCTAATTGATCACTTTTATCGTAAACCATTTGTAATAAGGTAACTGTCGTAATAACCAAAGTTTTAATATATTCTTAATGCTTATTAAAATAGAGGAACAGTATGGGTAACAGTACATTCCACAGTTATATAGATAGACAATGCAAATACCCAAAATTTATGATTCACGTTATCAACAAAGCGAGGATGGCAGGAATACAAATGACTAAAACTTGGATACTAATCTAATATATTCAAGAAAATTATTATGAAAAATGTTTGGTATAAATATTACATTGATTTTGACACCAAAACATCATTCGATTAAAAGACGATATGTTTATTTCATGAACTTAAAATTCATTATAACAGCTTATGAAAGTATATTTAGAAGATATATCTACCCTATATGGAGGACTGTTATGCCCTCCTCTCACATACTGTTGTATCGCATAATTCCTTCATTTTACAATAAATATGTAGCTGAGATACAAAAGCAACAAATTTGTTAATCTAAGTCAAATCGCGAAAGTAAAATATAGTATAAAATGCGGGGCAAGCTCTACCAGCGCACTCCGCGAGTTGGTGTGGGTAGATTGATAAATGCGCGGAAGCACTCGCCAACTAATGAATGGGGTGTGGCACGCACACCGCATGCCATTGCAGTATCTGCAATCCTTGCTAACCACAACTATACAATAACGGAAGATATTTACGGTCTTCCACTATTCCCCACAAACAGTTTAGCTAACTTACGAGATGGCACTGCAAGTTTCATCTGACTTCGCAATAATACTTATTACTACTGATTGAAACTTTATAATCTAAATTAGAAGATTTAATAAAGTTTGGTAATTCAATTACAGAATTGATAAAACAATGGGATATTTCAAGGATTAGGATGTATAGAATCTTGGAGGATGATCTAGCAGCAATTTCAGGATCAGGATTCTAATCAGGAAGGAGTTTAATCTGAAAAAGAAACAACAGCATTAATGTTATTATAATTTTAAGGATGTAAATAAAACAGGGAGTATACTCTTGCTGTATTACTGAGAAAGGAGGCATGACTGCACCAGGTGCTGATGGAATGGTAAAATTTGGTTACGGTTTGAAAGTACAAACATACACGGCCTAAAATAATAAACGTTAAACAATGAGCGTGGAACGCCACATCCCCTGATACCTCGAGCATTAAAACGGAAAGCAATTTCGCGCGGAGAACACTTGTACAACGCTCCCATTCCGTTCGAACGGACAGCCAGGCGATTCATTTCCCTGATGGCCACCCATTACACCGGTCAAGATGGATGGATAACAAACCAGCAATTACACTATAAACACAATGACAATCGAATGTTTTCACTAATTGAAAAAGCCACACGTAGATCGATTCATTTGAGAGCACTATATGAAATGAAAGTTGGAGTATGGCATAGCGTGACGCGACCGTTGAAATATGAACTCCATTGACTTTACGAGCGGTGGTGACATTTATTAATCTAGTGGGTCACCTCCAAACGTATGCTGCGTTCGTTAAATTAATAGACTTTGCGCGTGTAAGCCTACGAAAAAGGATCGACCAACAATTTTGATTGAAGCAATCATTTCAGCTAATCCAGTTTTTATACTAAAGAGACGTGGAAACGGCAACAAAGAGGTTCATAAAACGCTCCCGACTGCGCAGAACTAAAACGATAATGAAGGAATTAGCGAGTCCGCGTCACTTGGCAAAGAATCCTAATCATAATAACTCAAGATCGTATCGCGGGGGTAGACGATGAACAAAAGGCGGCAGAGCAACAATGGCGCCCAACGCGGGCCCGAGAGCCGCGCTAACAAATTACCTACCCGCAGATAACTAAGCAATATTAAATCATAGTAATTTGTGGTTGCAAGACGCAGCCCCTTTTCCCGGTTATCTTGGACGGCTCAAGAATGACTAAGATATTATTGTTATTTTTTCACGGTACATCCAGTGCTCATCTAGTTGTGAATCACTGTAAAATAACTGTTTTATACTATAAAATGTTGGCATGGAACGTGATTAGCCACTGCATTGTATTGATAAGAAGAAGCAGTATTTAAATCAGTCTGAAACATAACATGCAGAAGTTGGCAACTGGCAACTCTGCGTGAAACTGTAATTTCGCCGCTCATAAAACAGGAAACCCGGCAGCGGGGGGCAGGCTCGGTGCAATCGCATCTTTTCACTCGACTCCTTCAGAGGCACATTAGCAATTCTAACCATTGCAATAGTTGCTCGGAAATTGTAATATTTAGTCTTAATAAAGCCATTCGTAACGTTGAATATCCAGAGCAGGCGTGAGGCGGTGCCACGCCACGCCGCGCCGCGCCGCGCTACGACTCGCCCGAGGCGGAACCACTTGCGCTGCTTAAATTTACTGCAAGCCTTTATTCGTGAATGTTAAGGTTTTCATAGATTACATAAACGTACGTAATCACTATCACATTATATGGTACATTATATCAATAATATTTGTTTGTGTCTTATCTTTCATGTTCCATTTATCCAAATAAAAAATATTTAGTATCTACTGAAACTTTATGTACTGACGTACGTACTACACGTACTACGACATTGAATTAATTATTTGAAGTTATATAAATACTTATTATATATTATTATATATAAGGTTCAAGTTCAAAATAAATCATCATTAAGGTATTAGTGTGAATTAGTTAATGAAATAATGATTCTACTTAATTAAAATAAATTGAAACTTTTCTACTACACTATCTTTACTTACTTTTAAATTATACGAAATATACAGTAAATTTTAAATGTGAAAAGTGAAATGCAAAGAGAAATGAATATCAGTATTCTAACCGCTATAAATTTACCACTCAAACAATTCTGAACGTTCTGCGGCTATTGTATCGCATGGGCGGGGATATAGTATATTAATGAACCGATAGGACGCAATATGAACCGCTTTATATAAATTTAACGAATATTCGCCCCGCGGACAATGGACAGTGGCAGTAGAGCCATACCATATGTAACTTTTAAAATATTTTAAACGTTGAAACCGGTGCCAAAATGTTTTAATTCGGCACTTATATAACGCCGCTTAATGTAGTGTCACGAGAGATTTTGCGAACAATTTTATACGGCCAGTATTGTGAGGATAATAACAGTAAATATAGGATAAATAACAAACCACATGCTTACGATAGTATCTATCCACATGGATACGATAGTAGTGGCCCCAACCACATTAAACAAAAATGTATTTAGCTAAATATCTACATATCAAATATTTCCCATAGCACCCTATTGTCCATGCTTAATACTAAAGCATTTGAAGTCATAGTTACTGTATATGTTAATATGTATTCTCTATGCCTTTTTAAGTATATGTATTAAAAATTATAGCAACAAGAAACGACATCCATAATTATTTTCGCCCATCTTATTAATATTATAAACGTGGAAGTTTGTGAGTGTGGACTAATAATTATCAAACCTGAAACCAGAAACATCCAAGCAGGATGGACGTGTTACTCTTTCACGCAAAAACTACTGAATGGATTAGGCTATAAATTTCTCGAGAGTGAAACCGCGGACACAGCTAGTATCTAATATTACACTGGCATTACAAAAGTGTGCCTAGTGCCATCTGTCGGAGGGTACAAATACTTTATCATGTTGGGTCAACGTTTAGTTCAGAATAAGAGCTCAAAGCACAAAACTCCGTTGCCATCTACTGGCAACTACACGAACGTAAGTTAGCGCCATCTATATTACGAATACAGATATTACAAGGCATGTTGGAAACTGCCATCGCAAAGTATTGCATTGGGCGGCGCACAGATGGCAGTAGTCCGTAATTTTGTTAACTAGGTTGTGATGCGTGTTGTATAAAACTAAATTCTTATAAAAAATATTGTAGATAATAATAATAAATCTAGCTACTCACGGGTGTGGTTACGGCCTCCATTTTGAAAAGAATAAAATTCTTTTCTGGAACTAAATGTCTGAAAATAAAAGGAAAGATATTAAAACAAACGGACTTTTTGATATTTTAGGAAACAAAATTATACAAATATGATAACGGCAATAATGTATATATGTGTATACAAGACAGATAAATATTTCTACAATGGAATTTAACAAAAACAAGTACGTCGTATGTACGTGTAAAGGTAATATAAACAAACAAAAGGAGGTCTCTCAATTCGGTAGGCGGATCCATACAACAATAACTAATGATCTGAGAGCGGGTCAAACAAATACAAAGCACTGAACTCCCTTACATATTTCGAAAATGCACTACCTATAGATAAAGAATTGTTTTTTTATTATATTCGTTCAGTACAAATAGGAACTCTACTGGAAACATTAAAATTATATAGATTTTATTCCACAAAACAAACTCCAATATAATTATCTAAATATAGGATTCCACTTAGTTTAGGTACCAGGTAGCAACGTAAAATGTGAATATAGGCTGAAATAAAATCATTATTATTATTTTTAATCATAACAAAATTATACGCAACAAATCGAACGCATCCGCACTCAGCATCAGATGACGGACGAATTTTCTCAAATTTCGTATAATACGATGACTACTAATAATCAAAATTGGTTTAGCATTATTTACATTTAGTACTGAGACGGGTTAACTAGAGAGGCAGATTTGTAGAAAGTCATCTGCGTTGGTATTTTATTCTCATATACTGTTTTAAATTTCACGCAGTCATTATTTAAACATATAATTAAGAAAAATCATGGGATCGATATTACCACATTTTATATATTTTTATTGAGTTTCTGATATTTCGGGAGCGACCCATGATCATGGCCGTTGAAACACTGCTGAAATATCGGGAACGCAATAAAAATAAATGAAACGTTGTAAGATCCCGTATTTTATCCTAATCATTTTATTCTCACCTTTTTTAGTTATCAAGTAATTGCTTTGTAGTCTATGTTTCGGTTCAACAGTGAGATAAAGTAGAGAAATTACAGGATAAGGGGTATACATCTCAGGTCTCTAGAATGGTAACGCATTATCGGTATCACGGGCGACACCTCATAATGTGATGTCCGTAATGTTATATGTACGTCTGTGCGACGACAGTAACCACTTACCATCATATACAGGCTGACTGTTTGCTATTCCAATTACATTAAAAAAAGCTAATAAAAGCTAAAAAGTAAATAAAAGCGTAAATATATTTTCTTCTTACGAACTGATCAAAGAAAAAATATATAACGTACATGAGTTGCTTAATCCAATTAATACTATAAACTGAGTATCACTCCAGTCTTGTAAGTCGACACTACCATAATAGATAGTCTAGACATATCTAGGCTCTACGTACAAAGGTCATTGCCTATAATATATTAAACTAGTCATTGGCTATCAGTAAGTAATAATTACGAGTATAAAGGATTGATTTCTTGAACCAATGAAATCGACAATTTAAACACCTATTTATTGCTTTATGACACCTATAACTATTGGTAATATGTTGAAAAATGTACCTAATAAATATAAAATAAGAACACTGCCTGCATTTTTGAAATAAAAGATAACCTATTTCTTTCCTCATTATATTACATTCTATGGTCACGTCGAATTTCATTAGGATCTGATCAATCGCTTAGTAATAAAGAAGCTACAAATAGACAGAAAAACACACCCGTATTTATAATAGTAGTATAGAAAATGAATTACATACTATGGATAGAAATCAATCTGAAATATTACATATTTTAAAATGTGAAACCTCTTTTCAAATAGACGCATTGGTTTCTATGTTTATCCTCCATACAACTCAAGAAATTCACACTCATTACATTACATTACTTGGAATTTATTAAGAAGAATCGACATAATGCTATTTATTTGCATATTGTATTTTTTGTGAAATGTAATTAGAAATATTAAAAAAAAATCTTAAACCAGTATATCTGTCTGTTTGTCATGTCATCAAGAAAATAGTATAATTGAATTGATATATCAAAAATACACAAGTCAAGACATTAATCAGAGTATATACTCGTATGTATTAACAAAATAAATTTGTAATAATAATCATACAGGGAAACATCCATGGTTGACGAAGATCAGGCAGACGCCGTACTTCTTGGTTGAAAATCCTTAGGCAATTGATTAGAATGATCACCAGGTTACTTTTTAGGACCTCCGTGGACAAATTAAGATCGCCATATCTAATGATCGTCAATCTCCGATAAGAGATGGCGTCTACAGAAGAAGAATAGATCATACAGTGCATTATTATTTACCGTATGATATCGTGAGTCAACTAATATCTTGTATTGTAAAGCTTATTAATAATATCATTTTAGAGAAGTTACAAAAATAGTAGTCCACTGTGAGTCACGGGCAGAGGAGTGATGAGTAATTGGTAAACAATGAATATAAATAAACGATGAATTGGTAAACAAGATGAGAGTACTTATACAAGATATCAGCACTTCACATATGAGAATAATCTGGAATATTTGCTTTTGAAATATATAGTCAAATAAATTAAACTTAAGACTATCATTTGTTAATATTTTTTTGTTTGTAGAAATTGGCAAGTTTATAAACTTGCATGAGCAATGAAAACTTTTTCTATAAAGCCTTCATTCAGTCTTCACCTACAAAAGACATGTTAAAATTTACTATTTTTATTTTATAATAATATCAGGTTCTGTATGAACTTCGTCTGCCCTTATTAGGAAAAATTCCTGTTTTTGCAAAAATTTTCATTGACGCTGCCCTACTGCTGTTGTAATTTATAGGCTATGTTAAAGCCTGCTTTGATACATGGGATCACCATCATTGCAGTCCGGAAGACGTCCACTGCTGGACATAGACTTCCCCCAACGGACAGATCTCCACGACATGGGATACGACACTAAAACTTATTAACTTGTGTTTAACCAAACAAACTCTTCAGCTTTATATTAGTATATATGTACTATTATTAAAAAATGGTTCATTTTTCCCTCACTTGCATCGTTATCTTGTGGAATCGTAACAACACACACATGCAAAAGTTGATTTGTAGTTTATATGTGGTATTAAAAATGTAGTATTTTAGCCAATTTAAAGAATTGCAAGAGGTCATAGAAAAGGTTGAATAACTATATATAAGCCAGGACTAGTTTTTATTAAATTGACGACATCGAAAAGAAGAACAAATAGCGAATACAAAATAAATATCCTTTATAGAAACCGGGCGGCCACTTGAGCAACTTATCATGAAACGTTCAAAAATTATTTCCATATTTTATATATCCATATGACATATACTGGACCTATATCGTAATAAATTGTTAAAACTATTTGCATTTTAGTCTGTATATAATGTTCAATCGAGTACTTCTACGCATTCCAATATAGCATTATAGGAAGAGAATAATATAGCATTAAATCCATCTTTTGTACCATATTTTATTGGTCAATAAAGTAATAACAGAAATAGTATTAATATATCTTGCTCCATTCCTAAGTAAATAACGAAAAGATATAAGATATAAATAGACAGAAACATAAATACTTCTAACTCTTTTTGACGGGAAAAGATTTTTATTATGTAGTATTGACACCGTTGCTAGCAATGTGAACTGTCTGATTAACCATCGCACTATCGTGGTAAATTCCTGGTGAATTCACAACTTAGGACCAAGTGACCAGATTTCATCTTCAACCTTCAATATATGTGGCCTCTAGTGACATAACATTAACGCAAGCCGAACCACCATTCTATCATCTATGAAACAAATAGCTGCTTTCTAACCCTCTCTCACTATGTTTAAAGAAGAATTTCAAGTAAATGTAACACGCAAATTCAAGGTAAATTTAAAGCCGAGTAAAGATCAGTCGACAATAAATGGGCTGTGCCATTATTAGATGTTTCTTGCCCAATTGCTTCGAAGCTCAAAGGATTTAGATTAAATCTAGCATTGATTTAGAAATGTTATCACCCGACTGAAATCTCGATACATTTATTGATCGGAGCCGATTGAATAGATTTAAGGATTTATAATTTAAACCAAGTCCACCAAAGAAGTCTTTAAACGATTTTATCCACGGTAAAAGCAGACTGTGTTATAGTATGAGTATGCTACAATTAAATTTTATTTCAATTCAGTTACGTTACATTTAGTAACCGTCGCCTATATACCTTAACAGAACCACCTATATCACGTTATCATGTGATGTCCGTCATGCTACTCATCCTGAGAACTAAGATATAATAACTCTTATCTTGTAATTTGCCTTCTATTCGAACACATCTTACAAAGCAAGCTGCTTGGTCGCTGAAGTATGTGAGACGGAGATTTTTGCTAACAACTTTTTACAAAGTCTATAAAACTAATTGAAAACTTAGTAACTGCTGTCATTTAATAAAAATTTAAAATGACTAACGTGAATAATAAGCAACTTGGGATAGCCTCGGTCAGCATAAAAGCGAGTGTGTATTGCGATTTATATTTCTTGAGTATTTATATATATATTGAGTATTATTTTCAATTGAAGATTTAGTTTGAGTAACTAAATCTTCAATTGGAATGTATTGTTGTTAATTCTAGGCCAATTTTGAAGATTCTATCTGCAATCAGTAGCTTCTATTTATATAAAATTACAATAAAATATTATAAAGTACAGTTGACCACTAGTATAATTTATGGTATACAAAATACTGTTGTGGTAAACCATTACATTATTATTACATTGTTTACTGTGTTTCATGTACGTTCAGAACAGAATACAGCAATAACCACACTATAATACTAGAAGTATCTCGTTACAATGATTTTCAATTAATTGTATATAATAATACCCTGCCTGTAATAATATACTCTTGGCTCACGTGAAATTGTCTTGAAATTGTGCATTGTGTTGCTCTGGGCCAGCGGTACACAATGCATTTTAACCCAATTACGTGTGAGCTTATTAAACTGCTCCAGTTTGTTGTTGCGGTGGTAGCACATTTCCTGATTCTGTTCT